GAAAATAATGCAGTAGGAGAGAAGGTAGGATTTCTGAAGAAAACAGAAAATACAAGTACATGGTCCTCCCTGAACTACAACTCCTATTTTCTCTCTTGCCATTCTGACTATAAGAAAGCACACGTTTTGTTTGGAGAATGGGAGGAGGCAGAAAGTATTAAGCAGATATGCCCCACTCTCACCTGATATTTGAGAGGATATGAAGGAGGGGTGGTAAAATTACAGACATATCTGAACTCTTGACAGTACAGGATATTGAACTCAGAAGAGAACCTGGGCACACAGAATAAAGCATCTTCATTAAGAATAAAATTTTGGGAATTAGCCGAATGTTTTCATATGCCCTCAAGAAAACCTATCTACGGTAGCTCCCAAAGCAAGAACAGATTTTATATTAAATGTAACAATGCAGAAGTTTTACAATATAGATTCAAGTTACATATGCCACTTCATTCTGATACCCTTGGCTAGTATAGGAGAGAAACAGAGACAGGTCTTTATTAAAACACATTTGTGGGCTCTTGGGTAGCTCAGAGGGTTGAGCCTCTGACTCTTAGTTTCTGCTCAGGTCATGATCCAAGGGTCATGAGGAAGAACCACTGCATAAGGGTCCACACTGGACATGGAGTCTGCTTGAGATTCTGTCTCTTCCTCTGCCCTTCCCCCTGCTTGTATGTGCACTCTCTCTCTCTCAAATAAATAAATCTTAAAAAAAAATTTTGAAAGGATCTCCATACACCAGTATTTTCTCTGTAAGACAAATCCTAACTTTATATGGAAATACTGAACTACATCTTAAACCCTTAATTATTATAAAACCCACAAACTGGAAAACAAAGACCAACCCTATAAAAACGAAAGTAAAGTAGCAAAACCAACCAGGTAAAAGGCAAAAGTAAAGTACCTTGATTTAGAAAATTTAAGGCAGAGGTGACTATCATGCCTGAAACAAACTATACTCTTCCCTGGAGTAACAAATCCTTTCACCTCTAATCATTTTTTGTACAGTTAAGTTAAAAAAGTAGTCATAGTCTAAAAGATAAGGACCTAATTCTAAGTAGCTTAAAAAGGGGTTAATATGGGTTTTTGACAAAGGTTATGGATGATATACTTTCTCAGAAGAACAAAATAAGCAATGTACTGAACAGCTATTATATGTATATCCTATGATAACTGAAAAGCTTCAGAGAAATTCTTAAAGGTATTCTAAAAAATGAGTTAGATTTAGCATTGAACCAGTATCCACACACACTAATTTCCAATGTAGGGTTTCCCTTTCCTTTTCTACAAATTAAATTCCACTCCGGCAGAACTAGACTGGTAGTCTCCTAACTTATTTCCCTGGATCCTGGATACTCTAGTCTCCACAAAGAGATACAATTTTAAAACTCTATGAGCTTTAACTCTATTAAGCCCTCTATGAGCTGATCCTCCCAACCTCTCTGATCTTAGTTCCTACAACTTCCGCAACCCCACCTCTCCCACTCCGCTCCGCTCCCCTCCAGGGACACTGGCCTCCTTGAATGCTCCAGCTTTAAGTCCTCTGCACTCACGGTTCTCTTTTCTTAGACCACTGCTTTTCCCCATACAGCCACCTGGTTTGCTCCCTTATTTCCTGCAAGTCTTTGATCAGATGCCATTCATAGTGCAGCCTTTCCTGATCAACCCTAATAAAACAGCAAATCCACCTCGCCAACAGTCTCTGCCCTCTTTACCCATTTTCATTTTTTTCCATAGCACTTATCACCATGTGATGCACTATATTTTATTTGATTGTGTTCTGTCTGTAAAAGGGAGGCTTAACCATTACACTGTTCACTACTATACTGCCAGTAGTTAGCACAGTGCCTGGCATTGTTAAATGCTTGTTGAATAAATGATTGTATCTTGTCAAGCATATGGAAAGTCATGGCAGCCAGTGACAGATAAGAGCTGACAATAATCCAGAAGTGCTCAAATGTATCAAATTAATTACGATTACTACAATTCAGGCTATTTTAAAATAGCCTTCTATAACATTTAAATGTCTACTATTTCAGATATTCAAAAATCAGTAGATACTTAGCTAAAATATTTAGCTCACTGTTTAGGGTAAACCCCAGCTGATCATTACCTAAATTGTGGCAATTTATAAAAGTTCCAGATTTGGTAGAGTATCCCAGAGAACTATAAACTGCCCCTCTACTACTAAATTATTGACCAGTGTAAACTTTAATTAATTAATTTTACTTCTTTTTGCCTTAATTATTCTAAGGTTCCAAATGGACCATAATTTACTATCCAGTTGGTATTAAAAGAAACTAACTCTCAAGAAAGTTATGCCACCATCACAGTAGCAAAAGCAAAAGCTGTTTTCTACATATTCACATTCAATTCTCCAGGTTGCTCTCTGGAAACATTTTCTCTCCCTTTAAGGGTGCCCCAGAAGGGAGAAGAGTGGAGAAAAGAAAGTATGAGAAAAGCAAGAAAATGGGAAGAACTTTAAAAGACTCGAGTTCCCTAAACCCCAAGCAATCACTTCAAGCACATTAATTTTGATGAATCCAACTCAAAGCATATGAAAACTGTTTTCTGTGCCCTGTATGTCCATTCTACAAAAAACCTCATGTGTTTAGAAAAAAAAAAAAAAAATCTAGGCACGCAGCATAGAATACTTGGGTAGTGAAGAGAACCCTGGACTTGGCTTTCACCAGTGTCTGGGCACTGCTAGCTAGGTCTCCATGTTTATTGCACTAAAACTCTGGATCCTTAGGTATCAGATAAGGATGAACTAGAATATTCTCTCAAGCCATTCCCTAGCAGAGATCTGATGTTTCATTATTAAAACCAAAGACATGTTATTCTGTTCCTACTCCCAAATGTCCCAAAACTCAAGGATAAGAAAATGTTAGTGAAGGGGTGCCTGGGTGGCTCAGTGGGTTAAAGCCTCTGCCTTCGGCTCAGGTCATGATCCCAGGGTCCTGGGATCGAGCCCCACATCGGGCTAGAGCTCTGCTCTGCGGGAGCCTGCTTCCTCCTCTCTCTCTCTCTGCCTGCCTCTCTGCCTACTTGTGATCTCTGTCTGTCAAATAAATAAATAAAAAATCTTAAAAAAAAAATGTTAGTGAAGAAAATTAAACATTTTCTTCCATATTTTCTCTTACATCATTGACATCTGCCAATGTTTGTCAGTTCTTAAGCATTAACAGATAAGTAAATATCATCATGAGATATTTGTTACATGTATTAACTCCACCCTCATAAAACTGAGAAGAGGTATGTATCACTACATTATAGACGTCTACTTTACATTCCTACATTACAGACTAAGCCTTACAGAGGTGAGAGAATCTGGGAAAGATCATGAAGTAATGGTAGAGTCTAGCTTTGAACTTAAACCCTCGGATTCCAAAGTCTGGCCTCTTAACCACCACACCACATCCCTTTTAAAGAACAATAAGCTAGAATATAATAAAAGAATTACTCAGTTTCTTCCTTGTTTGGTGGACGTATGTTTTTGATGCATTTCTGTAATGTAAGCATCTTTTCCTGTTTTGTTTTTTAAGATTTTATTTATTTATTTGACAGAAAGAGAGATCAGAAGTAGGCAGAGAAAGAGGGGGAAGCAGGCTCCCTGCTGAGCAGAGAGCCCGATGTGGGGCTCGATCCCAGGACCCTGAGATCATGACCTGAGCTGAAGGCATAGGCTTTAACCCACTGAGCCACCCAGGCGTCCCATCCTTTCCTGTTTTTAGCAAAATTACACTTGGTTTTTATGGTGGCAACATCATGATCCCCTGGAGCGCAAACCATCCAAATGGAGTAGAGAACCCCTGATCTCAATCCCTAAGTGGTCTCCAGTTAGGTTTCCGGCACTTTTCTCTTCATGAGGGAAATACACTTGCAGCTAGTTCGAAATCTACCGTAACAACGTGCATCTGTTTATTGGTAAACAGATGTGGGTGAGTGTGGGTAACAGACTTCTCTCCTTGCAGCATGAGAGAAGGCAAACCAACGGATGACGGGGACAGCAGAGCTCTCAGACTGCGGTTCATCAGATCTCCCACTCACCGCTTTGTTTCTTCCCTTCTGGGAGCCCTTTTTCAGGTGCAGTCTGAGGGTCAAAACGAGACACCGGGACCAGTGGGTACCTGTCACTGTGCCCAAGAGGTGGCCGCACAGACCCAGGTGGCTTCCCTACTCGGCGGTACTAAAGACCAGATCCTGAGAAGTCCTTACAGACCAGAGGTCCACGGGGCCAACCACTAAAGGAGTTGGGGAGGGGGACAGCGGGAGGCTTTTTAGAAGTCGCTCGGCCACATTCCCGCTCTGCCGGCCTGGTCCCCCAAACGCTGCCGGGGTGTGGGGGTGTGTGGGTGGGTGGCGGGGTTTCCCATCCCTTTCCTCGAGTCCCCGAGACCTCGGCCCCCGCGTGGGCGCGGCCTCGGCGGTCGGGCCGAGGGCACTCACCGTCGTTCTCGTCGCTGTGCCGCCGCCGGGACATGCCGCACGCCGGGGCGCTGCCGAGCTGAGCGAGGCCGGGAGGGGAGCGCGGCAGGAACTGTCGGGCCGCCGGCCGGTGAGAGGACAGCGACGAGGCGCGCGCGGTGGCAGGCGCGCAGGCGCACTCGCTCCCGACGGGTGCAGCAGCGCAAGCAGGAGAGGCGGCCGGCTGGGCTCGGTTGGCTCGGGTGCCCGAGAGCCGGCGTCTGGAAGCTCACCAGGCCCAGAGCGTCCGGTCCGCACGCAACCACCCCCTCGGGCTTCCTCCGCCTTTCGGCTGCTTCCTTCTCCCGCCTTTCGCTCTAAGTCCTTCCGGGGACACGCGGAAAGCACCGCCTCTTCAGCCAGCCGGAGGCCGCCGGCCGCGAGCCAAACCTGACGGCTGCTGGTCCACCGCGCACACTGGAGTCCCCGCCTCAACTTCAGACCCTCCCCGGGGCTCGCGGTATTTCCCGGCAGCCCTTTCGCCAACAACCCCCCCCCCCCCAAGACTTCCGGGGCGAGGTGACGTCTCCAGGGTTCCTTCCTCCGTGAACTCAGGTCGGGGACCGGTGGTGGGTCTTGGGAAGGGGAGCAGTGAGTATTGCTAGGCGGACACGGCTCGATGAAGAGAGATCTAAGAAAGGACCGGGACTGGCGGGTGCGTGCTCCTCTTACTCCCACTTCCGGGCCTTTGCCTCGTCGGGAAAGCCGGGCGGAACGATTGGCCCGGCCCGGCGCGCGGGGTGGGGCCGGGCGGGGGGCGGCGCCGCGCTTGCGGCTCCAGGCACTGAAGACCCGCCAGAGAAAGATCCTCCTGCTACGGGGTTACTCTGGTGGTTGTCCTACCCGTCACCCTTCTCAGTTATTTGGGAAGGAACAGGTGATTGCTTTAGTAATGTTTTCAGTATTGGGTCCCTGTTTACATGGATGCGAACGTCCCCTGCCCTGGCGTCTCTGATGAGCACCACACCTGCTTATCTGACTGCTTTGTCCGTGGTCACTGAAATTCCACACGTCGAACTGGAGCTCTTGTTTCACTCTCCTGTCCTAACCTATTCCTGTCAGTCATACCCGTTTCAGTGAATGGCACCATCCATCTGATTGCTTCATCCAAAAGTGTAGGTGGGAGTCATTCTTGGGTCCTCCTTTTCCTTTACTTCTTACATAACAGTCTATCTGTAAATTTTGCCAGCTCTACTTTCAAGACAAACCCAGAATCAGACCACGTTACGCCTTTGCTTACCACACTCCAGTTACTTTGCATTGCAAACTCCATACCCTGACCTACAGGGTTGTGCTCTCTCATCACTGCCCTGCATCCATTCTTTCTTCCTGTTTCTTTAAAAGAAAAGCTACTGGGCGCCTGGGTGGCTCAGTTGGTTAAGCAACTGCCTTCCGCTCAGGTCATGATCCTGGAGTCCCAGGATGGAGTCCCAGGATGGAGTCCCGCATCAGGCACCCTGCCCAGTGGGGAGTCTTTCTCCCTCTGACCTCTTCCTTTTCATGCTCTCTCTTTCTCTCAAATAAGTAAATAGAATCTTTATATTAAAAATAAATAAATAAATAAATAAATTAAATAAATAAAAGGCAAGCTACTTCCCACTTGAGGAATGTATACTATTTCCTCTGCCTCTGCTCTTAAGTCTGCATGGATGGCTCCTTGTCCTTTAGGTATCAGCTCAAACATCAAGTCCTTAGTGAAGCCTGTCTTGGCTATCCAATCACTGCTTTATTTCATTCTACAAATGCTGTACTTACTGACATTTAGCATCTTCTGTATGCCAGGCAGTGCTCAGGGTGACGAGGTGAACAAAGGAAGACCCTTGCTTTCTTGGTGCTAGTGATCCATTCAGGAATGAACAGACATAGTGCAGTCAGAAGAGTGATCAAAGGGACAGTAGTAGAAGAGACTAGAGAGGTGGTGGTGGGAGGGGCTTTGGAAGGACTTTAAACCTTATCAGAGTATGTTGAGAAGTCTGGACTACTTTTAGTAAACTCTCTGAGGAAGAGGGCAGTTAGGCTATTGCAGTAATTAAGTCAAGAAATGATGGCTTGGGATGCCTGGGTGGCTCTGTGGGTTGAGCATCTGCCTTTAGCTCAGGTCCTGGTCTTGGGCTCCTGCTCAGGGTGGGGCAGTGGGGGTCTGCTTCTCCCTCTCTCTCTCTGACCCTCCTCCCCACTTGTGCTCTCTCTCTGCTCAAATAAATAAAAAAAAAAATGGTGGTGGTTTGAATGGGGTTGGTAATATGTCCATTTTGACAAGATTTGGCCACACTAGAGATTTTTATATTTTATATTTCTGTTTATTAAAATGGGGCTTTCTTAGTTGTTATGTCATCTAAGGAATGGAATTTGCACAGCTCTAAAATTAAAGGGCAAAGAAGAACAAAGTGTTTATAACTGAAGGTACTAGCACGTAGCTTGGTTGATTTTGGTTGTACCTGGTGCTTTTCTGGTATCATTTACCTTAAATGTTTGTAGGGCTAACCCCTAATTGCGGTTCCTGCTCAAATGCTACTGCCTCAGAAAGACTTTACCTACTCTCTGTTTTTAAGAGTCCCTCTATCACTCCTGACTCCCTACCCTGCTTTTCGTCTTTGTGGGCCCTTTTCCTATCTGACTTTCTAAATTTAATCAATATATTCATTTGTTTATTTTCTTTCTCTTCCCACTGGAATATAAACCCCAAGAAAGCAGAGAATTTTTCTGTTTCTTTCACTGCTCTATTCCCATTGTCTAGAACAGTGCTTGGCATAGAGTAGGTGCTAAACAATTATTTGTTGAATGAATGAGCGAATGGATGGATGGCTTGGGCTGCTGGGCCCATGCTCATTTGCCTGACTGATTGATTCATTTCAAGTTTACTTCAGGTAGAATCAAAGACTGACATTGTTGTTTCTCCCTTGCTTCCTAGGAGAAAGTGAACTGAAAGGAACCTGCTCTACGACTGCAATCAAACCAGATGCCTTCTTTCACTTCACCAGACCAAGGAGATGACCTGGAGGCCTGTGTTTTAAGATTTTCCGACATAGATTTAAAAGACACAAGGCTTATCAATCCCAGTAGCAGTCTCAAAGCAGAGTTAGATGTCAGTACAAAGAAGAAATACCCGTATGCCAAGAAAAAGGTAAAATGGCTATATGGCTCTTATTTCAGGATTGTGTATGATGGTTAACTCAGATACATCTATTAGTAGCTCATCAGTCATCAAGGTTTTCCTCCAGGGAGCAGGAGGCTGCTGCCATGTTCAAAGTAGGTTCTAGTCAGGGTCATGATCCAGTGATCTTAAGTCAGTGCCAGGCAAAGAAGTATCATGGGCAAGGTGTGGCTCTGTAACAGTTATGGTTGAGTACTTGAGGATAGATCCTAGACAGATGGGCTGGATTTTTTTTTTCCCACCTAGGGTTAGAATCACAGGAACCTAGGAGACCTTGTCATTAGGAGAACAGATAGGCAGTAGGATAGTTGCCATGTAAGGCTCCTGACTGATCTAACTGGCTGGGTTCTCTTGGTTAGGAGAAAGATGGAACAGCCCAGAATGGTTGTGCAAGCTTACTGAGGACAGTTGGGATTGGATTGTAATGGGAGGTCCATTGATACGCTGCTCTTCTATGTCATTTATCCTTTTTTCAGAGATCATTATCTCAAACCTCCTCCTCTTGAAGCCCAAGGAAGGAACATGTCTTGGCCGAGGACATGCAATTGCGACTCAGTTTTCTCACCTCCAGTCTGCTGTCCTTCGGCAGTTAGTTTTTGTTGACTTCACGTCAGTGAAGAATAGATGTCTTCATTACTTATAACTTCTAATCTGTTCCCCTGTGCTCTCAGTCTCACACAGATGTCCTTGAAAATGAAACCCAAAGGGTACAGAAAGGTTTTTTCAAATACCATCCTGCAATAATTTCAGACTTAGAGAAAAGTTGCCAGAATTGTATTGAGGATCCTCATATCCCCTTGCGCACAAGCTCCATTCATGTTTCATCAGGTGTCCCAAATGGCTTTTATAGATCTACTCTAGGGTCACATGTTACATTGAGTTGCCATACCTTATATCCTCCTCAGTCTGGAGCACTCTCTCATTTTTTCCACCCTGAAATTATGACCATGATATATTTGAAGATTGCATGAGTTATTTTGTAGACTACCCCTTTGATTTTCACTCATGTTTCCTTACCGTTAGATTGAGATTAGTGCTTTTTTTTTTAATAAGACTATTCCACAAGAGATGCTCTGTTCACCCGGCTACAGTCTATCAGGTGGTTCACAGTGGCCGTTTGTCCCAAATTGGTGATGTTAACTTTGGTTACTTGGTTAAGGGAGTGTCAGATTTTTCTGCTATAAAAATATTTTTCCCTCTTTTAATTGCTCAGTATTCTGGGGGGAAATGGTTTGAGACTGTGTAATCATTTTATTCCTCATCCAACTTTCATCTGTCAGTTTTAGATTCTTTGATGTTTGTTTGCTTAGTTGATTGTTACTATGAAGGTTGCCGAAGGGTGATTTTCTAATTGCTTCATTCCTTCTAGATTTGTTCTTCTAGATTCCTTCTAGATAGTGTTTGGCATTCCGCTGTAAGGAAGAGCTTTCTCTTCTCCCGATTTATTTGTATCCATGTGGACTCAGGTTACATTTTATTGAGTTACAGGCCATTATGTTACTATTGATTTTGATGCTCAGATTATCTCAGATTTGGCTGAGAGCCCTTTCAAACTAGTATCTGTGTCCTTTCGACTTGCTCCCATCATTCTTTGAGCATTTCCTCACTTTCTGACTGAACAAAGTATTCCAGGCTCATCTTGAATTTTTCCTGACCCATCCCTGGAATCAAACATTTCTTCAAGGAGCTCTGGTTCCTTCTAGCAGAGAACTATCAAAAACCAAAACCTGGAGGCTCGGCAGGCTCTTTGCTACTAAATGTTGCCTTTCCCAGGACCTCTGATGTATGGAGCTAGGAAACTATATAGATAAATACACAAATGTCTACATGTACTATACATAAACTTCTATACATACGTACATACACTTCTATATTTACTTCTCTCTCAGTATGAACCAGTTCTATTCCAGCCTCATAAGAGTTTTTCCTAACTCTCCCTTCCCCATATTTATAACTTCCCTATTTGATGTGATTTGGTGAGAAACTGAGTTCCTATTAGTTCCAGTGTATTTCCTTATTTGATTTTTCTCCTGTATGTAAAGTGTACCCACCCTGCCAAGCTGCTTCCCTACCAGGGCCTGCTTTCCCCTTGTGGGCCTCTGAGCTGCCATCCTGGCTCTGGCCTCTCTCTTCTTGAACAGACTCCACATGGGCCCTAAACACTGCTGGGCCCTCAATGCCTTGTTCACAAGGCCTTAAAAGACCAGAGAAGATTTGAAAATCCCAAGTTTACTATAAAGAAGCACTTACATTGACGTACATACTATCTCCTTTTTTTTTTCTCCTATTTTGAAGGGTTTACTCTATAAATCCTAAAAATTTGCTCTCCAGTGTAATTTCCTGCTGCTTCAGTCTGAGATAGTCCAGATATAGTTGTGAGCAGCTAGGATGGTCCCACAGTGGTGCTTCATGTCTATGACCAATGTTTAGAGTGCCTATTTTTGGTAGTCTCCATATGCACTAAAAAAGTTAAGAAACACACATATACACACATGTGTATATATAAATATTATATATCCCCATTAGACCAGAAGGGAACAGTTGTTGAGAGGCTGATGATCATAGATCCTATTCAGCCTCTATTTGTACATCAGAAATACCACAAAGTTGAAAAACATGACAAACTGGGAAACAAATTTGTGATAACCCTGATCAAAAAAAAGGTCACTTAAGAAAACTTACAAATCAGGAAGAAAATAAATGCCGCAACAGGAAAGTTAGGCAATAGATAGGAACAAGCAAGTTAGACAAGAACAAGAAACTGATATGGAAAATATTCAGCCTTACTAATCAAAGACATGCACATAAAAGCAATATATCTCTTTTGCCTCGTATTCAGGTCAACACTAAAAATATTGACAATAAAGAATTGAATGCTGATAAAACTTGGTGCTGTGGATAAAATGTCTCCTTGTTGGTGAGCATACTAATTGGTTGGTTTTTCTGGAAGTCATTATTTATCACAATTTGAGCTTCATGTTACTTTACCCCCAAAGCTTTACTCTAGATGTTTATTTAAAGTAGATGGTTAAAGAGGTATAGGAAGATAGATGCGTAGAATGCTCATTCAACATTGCTTATAATTGCAAATATTGGAAACAAAAAAATGACCATTCATTAGGAATTGGTTAAGAGAATTATGGTACATCCATAGTTTTCTTTTTTTTTTTTTAAAGGTTTTATTTATTTGACAGAGATCACAAGTAGGCAGAGAGACAGGCAGAGAGAGAGGGGGAAGCAAGCTCCCTGCTGAGCAGAGAGCCCAGTGCGGGCCTAGATCCCAGGACCCTGGGATCATGACCTGAGCCAAAGGCGGAGACTTTAACCCACTGAGCCACCCACGTGCCCCCATCCATAGTTTTCTGTTTAATTTTTTTAAACAGTGAGTATAAATAATTTTTATAAAGACAATAAAATTATTTTCCAAAAATACAGGTCAAACATCTTGGAATATTTCTTTCCAGTCTTTTTCAGTGTACTTTTTAATGTAGTTGAGATTATGTTGTATAAGCAAATTTGATTCATTGTTTTTCATTTAACATTATGTCATAAATATTTTCCTACATAATTTAAAACTAGCTGCTCAATATTCCATAATAAGTATACTCCATATTTTCCTTGACCATTTCCTTTTTAGAAATGACTGATAGTGTTGTTTGTTAGGTTTTAGTGATATTCATCTGAAACTCAAGCCCTTTCCTTAAGAACAGCCCCTAATGGGGCACCTCGGTGGCTCAGTGGTTAAGCAGAGGGATCGAGTCCTGCATGGGGCTCCCTGCTTAGCGGGAAGTCTGCTTCTCCCTCTCCCACTCCCACTGCTTGTGTTCCTGTTCTCGCTGTCTCTCTCTGTCAAATAAATAAATAAAATCTTAAAAAAAAAAAAAGAACAGTCCCTAACAAATTTTAGATTGAAGTATAGTTTAAAGAAAACTGTTAATCTCAGGAGGTTCTTCTATAGAAAAATAGGACATAGAATTAAAAACCCCTATGGAAAGATAATATAAGGGATTCACTGAGATTCCTGCCAGCTTTAACCTAAGGTTAACAGTGGCGTATTTGAAATGTAATTGCAGGCATTTGCCCTTTTCGTCAAAACCAAAGAAGTTCCAGCATGTCCTCTTGAATGTAAAGAAAAATGGTGGCGATGCTGTCAGCAGCTCTTCAGAGACCGGATCAGCATCCACAGACACGTGGCAACACAGCATGCTGATGAGATTTGCCACCAGACTGCTTCTGTGTTACAGCAGCTGGCTGTGACATTGAACACCTCAAAGAGCCTTAAGTCTGAGGACAATAGGATCCCTCTACAAGAGGACTTCTGTAATCCTGATGTGTCTGTTTGGCTTCCTGATATAAGCTGCTTTAGCCCTGATGAGCTGATAAGGTAAGAATTTCATTCTGTACTTTGGCTTAATTTTAAAAGTTTTTCCAGCCACAAGAAGACACCACTACCTATCCATAAAAATGGCAAGCTCTTTGAGGCACAGAATTTCTCTATAGGCCTAAGCTAGGCCAGTAGCCACATACTCTATATCCCGGAACCATACCATATTACCCATGCAGCTGGCTGCATTCGCTAGTTTCTGTGGAAGGCTACATCTCATCTCCTCTAGGGACAGGTGATAAACAGAACAGTGTATTATTTTCAAAGAGAGATTGGAAGGCTCAGAAATGTGAATGATCTCTCTACCCTCATAATATTGGAGCTTAAAAAACAATTTTTGTTGCCAAATGTTTTCTGAGTTGAATATGTTTTAGAAAGGATGTTGACTTTTAGCACTGGGACACAGGATTAGAAGTTTAGATCCTGCCTTTGAAAAACTCACCAAATTATATGACAGAATTCTAGAGGACAGATTTCTGATTTTAAGCAATTCCTGAACTATTTGGTGAATAGAAAATGTCCAGATTTCATATACTTTTGTCATTAGTATTCAGTTTCTCCTGCCTTTGAAAAACTCACTAAATTATATATATTATATATTTTTTATATTATAAATAAATATAATATATAATATAATATATAATAATATATAAATATATACATATTTATATATAAACATATATATTTATCAAGAAAAGGAGCAAGTTAGAGAAGTGAACTTGGAGTCAGAATTGAGCTAGTCTCTAAAATTCTTGGTACCTTTATTTCCTCACCTCTAAAATAATAATGATGCCTGCCCCACTTACCACACAGTGTTACTATATAAATTATATAAAATATGAGGATTGTAAGAGCACCGCTGAACTATAAAGTGAGTACAGACATGGCCTTTTTGTTTCTAGATGGCCCTGTGCCTCAAGGAATTTACTTTCTAGTGGGAGAAACAAAGAAAGGATATGCAAAATAACTCGCGGATGATATGAGGCAGGTTACCTAAGTATCAGTTAAATTGTGTGGTGCAGATCCTAATTTGTTACAGCAGTGTAGAGAAAGGAAAATAGGTTCTGAAATAGACGAGGTTTCAGAGGGGAGCCAGCCGTGCCATATGATGAGGATATTGATGAGTGTCAGATTCCAGAGTCGGGTGGGGCCTTAATTATCATCTACCATAGCAGTCTCTAAAATAAGTTCTATGCAACACCAGTGCTGAAGGATGCTAACAGGTGTTGAAAAGACGTGCTAAAGACAAGTAAGGTTAGGAAGGACTAGCTTAAAATGTCCTTTACTTCAGGGCTTTTCAGAGCCTTCAGTAGATAAGGGGCTTTCACTGAGATTCTCAGAGAGGAAGATACTGTCAGCAAGGTTTCTCCAATGTGTAATTTCATGGAATAGCTTCAGAGTACACTTTGGGAAATGAAGTTTATTTCACTTCTCTGGTTTTACAGTTGAGGAAGTCAGTCTCAGAGATGATAAGAGACCCTCCCAGGTCCCACAACTAGTTAGTATAAGACAGCACAGTGCAGCAGAAAGAGTATGGATTCTAGTGTCAGAAGACTGTTGTCCAAGTCTTGATAGTAGTCACTCTACTTGTCTCACCTGGGAGGAATTGGCCTTGGTTTACTCGCCTGTAAAGTGGGGATAATAATAATCCTGCTCGTGGTTAAGAGGATTACATGAAATAATGGAAATGAAACCTTCTTGTATGCTGATGAAATGAGGAAATCAGAGTAAACTCACTTTTTACAAAGTTGGGTACAGATAATGTCTTCTGCAGAGCAAATACTGACAGGAGCTGCTTCTTATTTCAGAACAGTTAGGTTCCATCTCGGCCTTCCCTCTGACACTGCCTGGGGATACTTTGTGAATTGTGGCTTCTTTATGCCAGTGACTCAAGTGCTTTCCCCCTGTGGTTTTCTTCTTCTAGCGGCCAGGGCAGTGATGGAGGAGAGGTGCTGCTTTATTACTGCTACCGTGACCTGGAGGACCCCCACTGGGTGTGTGCCTGGCAGACGGCTCTGTGTCAGCTCCTGTCCCTCACGGGCAAGGTAACACCTCCCACATCCCATCCTTCACGGGACTCTTCTTGTCTCCAGTTTGGATTACAGAGGCTGTGCTGGAGACAAAAAGGATTTACTGTTAGGTTCTCAGAAGTCCGCAGAATGCTGCGAAGCTTTTAAGTAGACTGCCAAACAGTTGTTAGCTTGGCCTTTTATGACAGTATTTCCTGGACTAAGAGTCAGCAGACTTTTTCTTACAGAGCAAAATAGTGAGTATTTTTGGCTTTGCACGAAGACTATTCACTCCTGCTTCTATTAGACCCTAAAACTGTGTGTGGAATTGTGAAGAAATTATAACAAGATACAGTTGGGCTAATTCTGCACTGTTTCTTATCAGTTGTCTAGCCATTGTATATTGTTTAAAAACTAAAGTGTAAAACCTTATGTTCTTGCCTGCTAGATAAGCTGTTCTTGGTAGAAAATTCCTATAGTCTGTATTCAAGTACCTAAAATCGATTTTATTGATTTTTCTTAAGACTTTATTTATTTATTGAGAGAGTGTAAGTGAAGGGAGGAGCAAAGGGAGAGGGAGACAAATGTCAAGTTCACTCTGCACTGAGCACGGAGCCTGACGTGGGGCTCAGTCTCATAACCCTGAGGTCATTACCTGAGCTGAAACCAAGATTAGAATGCTTAACGGACTGAGCTGTCTGGGCACCCTTGATTTTGTTGATTTTTAAGTCCCTCTAATAAATTATATCTGTTTCCTAAACACATGCCAAGGTCTTTTACCAGTTTGTGGTATTGACATTTGCTATTTCTTCTCTCTAGAGTGCTTTCCCCCCTAGATCTTTGCTTGGCTCATTTCCTCCCTTCAGATCTCTGCCTGCGTACATGTTATCTCCTCAGAACTCTGATCCAAAGTAGTCCTCTCTCTAAATCTTATCACCTCCTTCTGCTCAGAGAGTATCAAAGAATTTGTTACCATCTGAAAGTACAATATTTGTTTAATTTGTTACAATCTGCCTCCCTAATAAAAGCTTGGTAAGGACAGGAACTTTGTCTTAATTAATTGATGTATTCTTAGTACTAGAACAGGGCTTGGCACATAGCAGACAATAAATATTTGGGGAGTTTTGAATAAAGGACTGAATATATTTCATTTGTAACAAAACCACAAGTGTGTATAAAGATGGAAGGTAGTAGATAGTAAAATGTTAATCATGATTATGTCTGCATGATAAGATTGTGGATGGTTTTTGTTATTTTCCTAAAAGAATTTTTTTTTTTTTTTAAAGAGGTGGGGCACTTGGGTGTTTCAGTTGTGTCCAACTCTTGATTTTGGCTGAGGGCATAATCTCAGGGTTGTAAGACTGATTGATCCCAGCAGTGGGCTCTGTGCCGAGTGTGGAAACTGCTTAAGATTCTCTTTCTCCTTCTCCCTCTGCCCCTCCCCACTTTGTGCTCTCTTTCTCTAAAAAAAGGTTCGCTCTCTTTTTATTAAAAAAAAAAAAAAAAAGGGTGGGGTCAGGGAAGGGGGAGAAGGAGAGAGAGGGGCTCCATCTCACAACCCTGAGATCATGACCTGAGTGGAAATCAAGTGTTGGATACTTAACTGACTGAGCCACCCACATGCCACTTTTCTAAAACATTCTTGATGATCACACACACACACACATAGACATAGATTTATAAATACATATATACATATCTGCATATAAATATATATATGTAAAAACAGAGAGATAAATAACATACTTTTATAAACTTAATAGGAAATGAACTAGGTTTGTTCTGAGATCCCTCTGGGGGTATGACACTGTAATATCTTAAGCCTATTCTTTTCCAAAGGTGTTTTGACTCCCCGAGGCAGTCCTTTGATCAGTGGTTTTCCGCACCCATGTTTCCTAAGAGATGATGCCAAAAGCTTCCTTTACCTCATTCAGTGCAATATCACATCCTGCCCTTTCTGCCTCTACAGTATCCCTTGCCTCCATCCACTCCCAGTCCGCTTCCATCACCTGACAGCACTCTCTCGTCCACGTCAGTAACTTTCAAACCGTCTTGTTCTCCTGTCCTTGCCTGCCATTTAATCCGTTCTCCACTCTGCAGCCAGAGTCCTCTTAAAAAGTAAATTGAACACTGCTGCTCGGAATCTCTCAGTGGCTATCATTGCAGTTAGAGCAAAACCCAAATCCTTAACATACCCGTAGGTTCCTGCATGATTTGGCCCCTTCCTACCTTTTCTGTCTATCTAATGTTGTTCTTCACTCACCATACTCCAGCGACATGGTCTTTCAGTTTTTTGGAGCCCACAAAGGTTTTTGTTTTTGTTTTATGTATCTTTTTCCAGGCAAACTCTCTTCAAAGAATTCTCCCACACCCACTCAGTTTCTCCCGTAAAATTTCTACTCAATCTTCAGTGTTCCGTTTCAATGATGCGTCCTCAAAGAGACCTTTCTTGACCTTCAGTCTTAAGTTCACTTTTCCCAGTACATTCTCCCAAAGCATCTTGTGGTTATTTTTCATAGTTCTTTTCATTTTGTGACTTTTATCTTAATACCTGTCACCTCCCCTAGTTTGTAAGCTCTAAGAGGGCAAGAGCTCTTTTATTTTTTTATTTTTTATTTTTTTGTTAACAGCTAGATCAGGAACTCCTAACACAATTACTGGCACATAGTAAAAAAAAAAAAAAAAAAAAAAGCAAATATTTGTGGAATGAATACCTTTGTAAAACAGCCTGACATGGGGCTCCAACTCACAGCCCTGAGATCAAGACCTGAGCCAAAATCAAGACTCTGACACTTAACTGACTGAACCACCCACGTGCCCCTGGAATGACTTACATTTATTGTCATCTCTATTTAGAGAACACCCTGAAAGATGGGTGTTTTCACAGTGAACCCGAATGTACAAAATATGAAATCAGTCTCTTTCCTTGTTTGGGGGACAGATTATTTCCCTTGTTAGCCCAGCCTGAGGTGAACCTGCAATGAGGGTGTCCACCCACAAGGTGGCAGCACCTGCCTAAATCTTAATCTAAAGCCTGAGGCTTCAGTGATACATGCCCAGTTTACTGAGGTAATTTTCTGCTGGTGGGCTATTTGGCAGAATTGGCATTTAGGTGGAGAGAGAAGAGAACTTGAAAAGTCTAGAAAGAAGTTTCTGTTCCTATAGCTATATGTTTCTTTTTGCCTCAAGAAATCTGAGGGGACATATTGGAGGCTTCAGTAGGGAAAATTGCATGATTTGGAAGGAACAGTATCTGGCTTTGAATCCCAGATCTCCTACCTACCAGCTCTGTGCCCTTGGGCAAGTTACTTGATTTCTTTGAGCTTTTGTTTCCTTTTCTGTCGAATGGAGATTATGATACCTATCTTCCAGGATTGTAATATAAAGCTCATACATCATAGTAGGTGCTCAATAAATGCTAACCATTGTTTTCCATCCCTGAGGTATAAGGCCTTCCTCACCAGGGAGCCACTCTGAAGCTTTGTCTTGAACAATCTTAGGGATTGAAAGGCTAGTAGTGTATGAGTTTAGAGATTGCTCTGCCCCAGCTAAACAGGGATTAGGTGTGCTGGTCCTTTATTTGGGTTTTGAGATTAAAACAACATAGGAAAGAATCTACTAGCCTACTCTAAAGACAGCTCCACAGAAGTATGTACTTTATCTGCCACAGTCAAAGACAGTTTTAGAGTAGACTTCCTGACACATTGGTTCACCTCTATTTTTCTGTGTAGGCCCTTGAAAAAGTATTAGTTGGTTGGTGGGAGGGTAGTCTATACAGCAGGGATGGCATATTCCTTCTGCTTTCCTCTCTCATGCCCAGAACAGGCTTTATCAGATTGCAGTACTTTCCCAAGGAGCCCGGATGTGATCCAGAATCCTCATTGTGGAACTCTGGCTAGCCATTACTAGTGAGTTGGCACTAGATTATGAAATGAATCCCATTTATATGGCCCTAAAGAGTCAAGTGAGGCAACAAATAAAATGATGTCTTCTCTGGGCCCTGAAAAAGGACAGCTTTTACATTTTTCAAGTTCTAATGCATTGGTAGGTATCATTGTCGTATCATTGGTAGTAATAATAATAGAGGACCTCTCTCTCCATAGAGTATCATGATACTAGAGCGTCGTGCTTTGTCTCTAGCACTTTGCTCTAGAGAGCTCAGCTCCTTCTAAAGAGGATCCAGCTTTAAACTCATCCACAGGGTTTTATAGTACCAGGAAAACTAACTTTGCAGGCCTCCCTAAGCATTGTCTCTTAAGGGAGGGCCTTAACCCGTTCTAAAGTCCCCCAACCACTGAAGCATTTCAAAGAAACTACATGTTTGAGAAGCCAAAAAACTTCCGAAATGGATATACATTCATTCGTTCAACAAATATGAACCAGGTATCTACTTGGCAGGCGCTGTTCTAAGCACTGATGCAGCAGTGAACAACAGACACAGACCCTTGTGGAACTGGCATTCTAGTGGGTGGGTTTGGGGTTGTGTGCTTCCCCCCAAACGCTGTGCAGAGGCATACTCACATGCATTCCTTGCTCTCAGCTGTGCTCTGACTTGGGTAATATCTCCTCAGCAGTCCTCTTCATTATTGGTTCTCTTCTGTCTCAGTTTTAGCAAGGTGAAGAAATTGGGGTTCAGAGAAGTAAGTTAATTTTCTCAGGGCCACACAGCAAGTAAGTGGCAAAGCTGAGTTTTGATCCTAGGTCTGCTGACCTGGATTTAGGTTAAGCTCGAAATTTATTTCTTTGGTCATTGGACAGCAAATGGGGCTTTCCAGAACTTTCACTCAATCCATTCTCTCGTCCAGTGCACATACCTTGTCTGAATTGTGGGCAGTGCCATTTTAGAAAGCTACAAGTATCTTCATGTGGTAACACTTTTATTGTGTCTCTGCTATTTTTGTTAACCTCATGGACAAGCCTGTTCTGGCCCGGGAAGATTTAAACTAAGCTAAGAACAGACTGCATTCCCCTTCTCTCACTGTCTTGTGTCCCAGGTTCGAATTGCTACAGAAGGAATCAATGGGACAGTTGGTGGAAGCAAACTCGCCACCAGACTCTATGTGGAAGTCATGCTTTCCTGCCCATTGTTTAAGGATTATATGTGTAAGGATGATTTTAAGGTAAGAGAAATTGAAAAAAAAAATGGATTTAGAGTCATTGCCTTCTGCCTCACTGCCTCTTCGTGCTCTAGGCACTGAAGAGGAGAGTGTACGAAGGAAGCAGTGCCAGATAAACACCTTTCCCCTAGTAGGCTGCGAGGCCATGCGGTCAAAGGAGCGTCCGCATCCAGTTCTTTACGAAGCTGCCACGTGGTCTTGGGCAAGTTAGTGCCCTCTTGGATCTCAGTCTCCCTTCTTGTAGAATGAGGACAGGACAGTTTGCACAATCTAACTCTAAACTTAGATGATATTTGCCCACTTGAGGGACCACCTGGCTATTTCAGGGCATCACTATGTTTTTCGTAAACTTGGAATTACAAGACCAGCACTTTATGCCACGGGGGGGATAAAGCTACTGCTGTCACAGCTGAGCTCCTTTGAGTCACCTTGTGCTTGGTAGGCTTGGTAGGTGATAAAGGTGGGGAATGCCTTACCGAGGGTTAGTGCTGGTGGTGGCAGGGAGAGAAAGCTCATTGCTCCAGAGCAAAAGCTAGGATGTAATCTCACATAACGAAACCACTCAGTGTTGTTTCAGTTTTATAGTTAAGTGCTTATAGCCGTAGAAACACTTTTTCAATTTAACATTTCTGTATGTGGAATGTATGCAATAAATATTTATTAGTGTTGAATTATCTGAAACATTTTAGGCCCTGACTCCCTTTCCCCATTAAAACATTAATTCTTACTTTGAGGTTTCTTAAGACTTGAGCTATCATATCACAACAGATACAATTCTTATATTTGGCACTTGTCTTATATCTGGAGATGGGAGAGTAAGACTGTTCTGTTTTGCTTCTCATTGGCTAGACCAGCAAAGGAGGGGCTTGCTGTTTTCCAGAATTGCGTGTTGGTGTATTTGAAGAAATTGTGCCCATGGGGATCAGTCCCAATAAGATCTCCTACAAGAAGCCTGGTATGCTTGCTTTTAGAAGAAAAATTTTGCTTTTCTGCAGAGGGACAAAACTTGATATAGAAACAAATGTGGAAGTCAGACACTCTGATCAACAATCACCTCTTTAAAATAGCTTTGGGGTATGGAATTTAAGAAACAAAGAAAAAAGAGACAAAAAACCAGATTCTTAGGTACAGAGAAGAACTGGTGGTTTCCAGAGGGAAGGTAGGTGAAGTAGATGAAGGGGGTTAAGAGTACACTTGTCATGATAAGCACCGAGTACTGTGTAGAACTGTTTAATCGTTACACATCCGAAGCTAATATAACATTGTGTGTTAATTATACTTATTAAAAAAATAGCTCTGGAATAGCTAGCCTGTGGGTTATTCAGTGTTTAAACTGGTTTTCTCTTTGGTGCTATGGTAATTGAAGACTCACCCCTTAGAATGCTTTTTCTTCTTGATGATTTGGCAAGAAGTTGTCTTCTTGTTCCAAAGATAGCAACCTGGGAAGAATGTAATTATTATTTGTAAATAGTTCATCAACTGAATAACACATAGGCTTTTTGCTACAGGAAACAAGAGGCTTTCAAATCCAGAGCAGTTTGTTTGCAAGTATGCTAGAATGTTCTCTTCCTCTTTTTCCCTGTGGTTGCTATAGATGGTTGAAAGACATTTGTTTGGTAGGCTTTTTGTTTTTGTTTTGCTTTTTACTATGAAAATTTCAGATGCTAAAAAAAAGTACAGAAAAGAATACAGTGAACTCATGTACCTGTCATATAGCTTCAGCAATTGCTCATTCATCGTCAACTTTCTTCTATAGCCTGTCCCCTTCCCCCATCCTGGATCATTTTGAAGGGAATCCCAGTGTCATGTCATTACATTCATAAATATTTTAGTAGAGACCTCTAAAAGATAAATGTTTAAAAAAATAACTGTAAAGCCATTATTACATTTAAATAAAACATCGTAATAATAATTCCTTAATATTATCAAATATCTAGCCAGTGCTTAAAATTGGCTAAACCAGCAAAGGAGGAGCTTGCTGTTCTCCAGAATTGTGTGTCAGCATATGTGAAGAAATCGTACCCATGGGGATCTCATAACTTTTTTAGTTGTTTTTATTGGGATTCAAGTAAGGTCCACTCATTGTGATGGATCCCTGTGTCTCTTTAAGTCTCTTTTAACCTATACACTTCCCTCCCTTTTTTTCCCCCCTTTGTTTATTTTTTGAAGAAACTAGGTCATTTTGTCTATAGAGATTCCCACAGTCTGGCTAAAGCTGCCTGCATCTCCTCTGTCCTCTGTGTTTCCTACAGAATGGTAGTTAGCTTTAGAGCAGTGCTAATAGAAATGTAATTGTGAGGCACATATGTAATTTTATGTTTTTTAGTAGTCACATTTTAAAAGTAAAAGGAAACAAGTGAAATTCATTTTAATAATATGCTTCAATGCAATGTAGGCAAAATATTTTCACATGTAATCAATGTAAAAAATTACTGTTGAGATAGTTTACCTTTTTTTGCTTACTAAGTACTTGAAATCCTAGATCGGTGTCACTCTTATTCTAGCACATCTCTGGCCACATTTCAAGAGCCTGACCTCCCCATGTGGCTGGTGGCTAGTTAGACACCTCAGATCCAGAGACTTGGTTAGATTCAGATTTAACTTCCTTTTTTCTTTCTTTCCTCCCCTCCTTCCCCAAGACTGCCTGACAAGTAGTATTGTCCTCTTTCATCAGGAAGCACAAAAGTCTGGCTGTCTCTGCTCATTTCCCCATATGTAGGGGTTTAAAATAATGCTAGGGGTTAAGCCAGAAGGAAATGGGAGTAGGATACAAATATCCAGGAAAAGAGACTTGTGCATGAGGAGGGAAGGGCCCAAAAGGGCTGTGTCTGCACAGTGTCCCAACATCAGCAAGATGACTGAAGAGCTCCTTCTTGGTGCTACAGGCCATTGCTTGGGAGGTTAGGGGACAGTGGGCTCCACGCTATGCTGGGCTGCTTGGATTTAAGCCACGTGGAGTGAAGGCAGCTCTTGTAAATGTGTCTCTCTGAGTCCCTGTCCAGTCGGCCTTTGCAGGGCCAGGAGAACAGCAGTGGGGAGCAGGTTGGGTTCCCCATGGCACCCTGTCAGTAGAAGTCTTAGCAGATTTCCATGCTTCTCATCCCAGTTTTGAGCCTCCCTTTGCAACCCCCTGTTTTGGTAACCATGTAATTAGGTGGTAAGAATGAATAAATTCTGGCCTCATTACATTTGCCTTACAGTTCTGGGTTGGGCAGGTAAGAATCCAGAGTCCTGGCCCAGGCCCTGGGGCTTCTAGCCCCGCCTGGGTACTTAGCAGCTTCAAGTGGTTGTTGAGGTTCCCCTCTGAGCAGAATGAGGCTCCTTTAGTGCCATCAGGCTCTACCAAGAGTGGTTGGTGACTGCCATCCCCAGAGCCCCTGTCCTTGAGCGGGGGTTACTGCCCATTGCCAAATTCACCAGAAGTTCTTCACAATCAATTGGAATGTCTGGACCTCCAAAGATACAGGAATATTTCTATTCTGGAGAGTCCAGAAGGCCAGGTACCCCAACAGACTGAGGTGCTCTCCTTTTAGTCTCCTTGGATTTGAATTATTTTGTTCCTTTCCTTTCTCTCCTGCCTGCTTTTAGCTTTTCCCTCCTCTCCCTCCTGCCCTATTTTCTCATGTGTCCCTCCTGCCGTCAGCCCCTCCCACCCTTTCTCTTTCACTCATGGACACAGATTTAGACACATTCTTCTTACCCTTTTGTATTTTTAAAGAACAGTCCAACTTTATTCCATAAATTTATACTCTCAGCTGCCTGTCAAGGTTCTTAGCCTTGAACTTGGGCTTGCCTTTGTTATAGTCAAAGCCTATTGTCAAGCACATACATGCCTAGTCCCCTCCCTGTACAATGAAGATAGAACACTGGCCATGTAATGGACCAGCAAACCCACATGGCAGTTTAGAGCCAAACTGTCTGGCCTTTATCACTGCGTTGAACCAAGTATGAGAATGGAAAATTCTTTGACTAATCATTTCTAAACCTCCAGGTTTCCATAGTGCTTATCTTTGGAAGAAGGAAAGTGAGGATATCTGGAATCACTGAATAATTTCATCATGATCATCAGAGTTATTTTCAGACACAATAGCAATTATGAATAATGGTTTGGGTGGAAAAAAACAGAGCAACATCTAAGTCATTAGGCAGGGCTAGCTGTGATTGGATTTTTGTCTTAAGTAAATTTTTGGTTTGGTTTTAGGAATCCATTTATCCCCAGGTGAATTTCATAAAGAAGTAGAAAAATTTTTGTCTCAGGCAAATGAAGAACAAAGTGATACTATCTTACTGGACTGCAGAAACTTCTATGAAAGCAAAATAGTAAGTAAGGACCAGAAGTGAGGTCCGAGAAATGGTAGGTCTCCCCTTTCCCACATCATGGCATGTTTGCCAAGTGATGCCGTGTATGCCCACTTGTGGCCAAGTCACCCAGATCTCCCCCCACTGCTAGCAGCTTCAGAGAAAACCCAAGCCTTTGAACTCAGGATCTGCTGAGAAAGTCTAAGAAAAGAGGAATGAAAGACATCTTGGCACATAATGTACGTCTTGGCTCTCATGTGCCTACCTTTGACATGTGTCGAGGATCCTGTAAAGCTGGCTTTGGGCACCTTGTCCAGTTCCACTGAGGACTCTGGGAAAGATGACCCATAGCCCACTGCCTTGTTTCTGAGTTCCAGATCTTGAAGTTGAAAGGTCAGAGTGTAGGATGAGAATAGCAACTGGTCAGTGCTCCCTTATCTCTGACTGGGGTCAACACACCTTTTCTTCTTACCAGGTATGTTTTTCTGATCATTTTCCTTCTGCTTTTCCTGTATCATAGGGAAGATTCCAGGGCTGCTTAGCCCCAGACATCAGGAAATTCAGTTACTTCCCTAGCTACATTGACAAAAATCTGGAACTTTTCCAAGGGAAGAAGGTGCTGATGTACTGCACTGGGGGCATCCGGTGTGAGCGGGGTTCAGCCTACCTCAAGGCCAAGGTGAGTTAGCACCCTTGGGGGTGATGTAGGTGTAGGGGTAAGGAAGGTTCCACCAACAGCATGTGCTGAGCTTTCCACCCCACCTTCAGTCCTCCTCCCACCCCTGGCCCGCCAGGGATTTCTTTTTCCCTTGAATGGTTCCAGCACAGAGTTTGTAGGTACAAAACCTGAAGTTCTTACATCTCAAGATGTGGGAGAGCACTTCACGGTCTTAGAGGCTCCTCAAGTACAGAAGGGAAAGCTTAGTTAACCTCTCCCTTTTCCTAATCTGTATGCTTGATCCTGAGAAGAACAAATTCCCATTACATGTTCCAACAGGTGTCTTTCTATATTTAGGGGAGAGCTAAAATAGCTGGGCTCCCCAGGATCTGGTGAAGGCCCTGACTGCCATCATCACCTGCCACTCATCTCTGCAGCTTACCAGTCTTTGCCTGTCTCCTCAAATTTCCTCCTGTTTTTCCTCATACAGGGCGTGTGCCAGGAAGTGTTCCAGCTCAAAGGGGGCATCCACAAGTACCTGGAGGAGTTTCCTGATGGTTTCTACAAAGGGAAGTTGTTTGTTTTTGATGAGCGCTATGCCTTATCCTACAACAGTGATACAGTGTCAGGTAGGTCAGCACAGGCTGGGCTCTAGACTCACCATCAGGCATGTTCTGTGTATGAACCCTTCTGGAAGGCAGACCAGTACTGGTCATGTGAAGAAGAAAACAGGGAAAAGAAGTAACATAGTATGACCAATTTCCCAGCAGAGTTGGCAATGTAACAGTGAAATAGAATTCTGGATCAGGAATCGGGAGGCCTGTCCTGGATCCTGGCTTCCCCGTTTGCCAGTTAGGCGAGTCTTTTATAGGGGGGACGAGGTCACTTGCTCTGCCTATGTGCTGGGAGTTAAACTAATAGGCTGAAACAAGGGGTTGTAGAATTTGGCGGTTCTGTGTGAATTTGGATGGGAAAATAAATATATCTTTATTTTCAGCACCCCACACTAAATGTAGCACTTCCTGTGCTTATTAATGTCAGCAACAAATCAATATTAGATGCACCAGTGACTTCACCATCAATAGAAACCACTGTAGTTTCATGTATTACAGTTGCTGCAGACTTCTCCCAATAGCATTTATGCTCATCATTGTCTCAAAGTGGAAGTAGTTATAGCCCCCACCCCTGCCTTATTTATTTAATGTGTTAATAAATATTTTACCTATATCATAGATTCCTAAAAATGTTTTATATTTTGTATTTCTATATAATTGGCTTCCTTTGTAATCAGTGTATTTTAAGAACCTCCAGTTCATGTCATCTGTAGACACATGTGGTAGGTTAGGTACTTCTCAATGGTGGCCGGGGCATTCCAAGGTGGGAGCTGAACCCAGGGCCAAGCCCAGAGGCAGGGGTGGCCACAGGAGGGTGTGAACTCAAGAGGCCTATGCTTTGACTCCAGTTTTAAGTCCTCACCGATGGGGGGGTACCAGATGAGGTCAGCAAAAGGAGGATGGAAATAATCCTTAAGAAAATTGGCTCTGCCTGGATGCCATAGTTTTAAACAGGAAAGGTCATAGGCAGAAAACCCTAGTGACTGCTGTAACTTTCTAGAACTCCTGTGATCAGCGTCTAAGATTGAATTACCACTGTGATAATGAATAAGATTTGAGTATGATTGCCTTCTCCCCTTTCTTCTTGATTTTTTAATTAATTTTAATTATCTTGTATTTGTGTCTCGAAAGCTACTTAAAGTCTGTTTTGGAGCTAGATGAAGTATAAATTATAAATAAGTAGAAATAGTGGATTTGCAAAATGTTACTGAGGACATGCTGGCAGGATTTGATGGGTACTTGCATGTGAGTGTGAAGGCAAGAGGGAAGGCCCAAAGGTAGTTTAGATAAAACTAGTTGAGGAGACTTGAAGAATGATGTTTTTGTCATTGCTAACGGAAAGTTGGCTGGGAAAAATGGGCTGAGAAAATAGGTAATGGGAGTTTTTTTAGGAATCGGGTAGTCAGGTGTCATTTAGCAAAAGCAGGAGAACCTCAGGCTTGGGGAGGAGGAGTTTGGACTGCAGGAGCTGAATATAGGTGTGGCATCATTTGTATTCACATATGCTATCGCCCATGAGAAAGGGGAATGATCTACAGGATCATTGAACTAAGGGGTAGTTGACCAGCTTTGGAATGAAGAATATTGATATGGGACTGATCTGTTGCTGACATTAACAATCAAAGGAAGTGCTACATTTGGTGTGGGGTGCTGAAAATAAAGATAATTATTTTCCCATCCGAATTCACACAGAACTATCAATTCTGCAACTTCTGGTTAAGACCCTTGTTTCCTATTTTCTAAATAGGAAAAAGAAAAAAAATGAGTCACAGAATGTTGCAATCAGGAAGACAGTTCCCAGGGGTGCCTGGGTGGCTCAGTGGGTTAAAGCTCAGGTCACTATCTCAGGGTCCTGGGATTAAGCACTGCATCAGGCTCTGCTCAGCAGGGAGCCTGCTTCCCCTCCTCTCTGCCTGCCTCTTCCTACTTGTGATCTCTGTCAAATACATAAATAAAATCTTTAAAAAAAAAAAAAAAAAAGAAGACAGTTCCCAGATGACTCCCCCACCCCCAAATAGTAGGGGTGAGGACAGGAGACTTACTCTTTAGAAACCTTCCCTGGCCTAATGGAGTATATATTAGCTCGTGTGCTAAGAGTTACCTTTAGGACCTGGAGAAGTACCTCTCTACATGTGTACACGTATATGTGTTTGGAACTGGGACTTTTCTTTCTTCCCCAGAATGTTCATACTGTGGAGCCCCATGGGACCAGTATAAACTCTGCTCAACTCCCCAGTGCCGCCAGCTCATCTTGACCTGCCCTGCTTGCCAACAACAAGGATTCACAGCCTGTTGTGTCACATGTCAAGACAAAGGGAGGAGGTTGGCTTTGAGTCCCACCCAGAACAGCTTTAAAGAGGAATGTGAGTGTACTGCCCGACGGCCACGCATACCCAGCGAGCTGCCACGGCAGGTGCGGCTCCCTGTGAGCCCCGAGCCGAGGCCAGATATTGGTGAGGATGGGCCACGCGTATGTGAGCAGAAGCAGCACTTCCTCAGGCCTGCACAAAGCTAGTTCACAGTGACCACACATTGGAAAATATCAGAGCTGCAGCAGCAAAAAAACTTGAACTTGAATGCTGGTTTTGCCAGCATCGTAAACTGGGTACCATATTGGCCACTTAAGCTTCAGAGGGGCCGGGAAGAGGGGGTAGGGTGCTGACAACTTACCTGAGACATTTGACTCAGAAGATGCCTGGACACAGGAAAAGGTGAGCTGTGTAGGATCCCAGTGCTGCTGGGGGAGAGAGCCTTGAGCCTGGTGACCAGGTCATGCCCTTTCTGTGCCATGCAGCAGGCTGGTAATAGTTACTTGTCTCGTCAGCAAACCGGTTGATCCTGGTGGCAAGAGCATGAAAGCTATGGCCTTGGAGGGGGACTCCTCAGAAGCAGGCCATTCCTGCTACCTACCATCACCTACCATCCGCTCCTACCCTCATCCCTAAATCAGGATCTGCAGATTAGGGCATTTGACTGGCCTTCTGGTTTTGTAAAGTTTTAGTGGAATAGCCACACCCGTTCATTTGAATACGATCTGTGGCAGAATTAAGTAGTTACAACAGAGACCACATGGCCTGCAGAGCCAAAAACGTTTGCGATCTGGCTCCTTTATGGAAAAAAATAGCCATCCCCTGGTCAAAACCCAGCAGCTCACCCGATGGAGCAGGTGATCTGAAAGGTGGCCCACCGTCATTGTTTTATTGATTTGGTTTCTCTGATCGATCTCCCCCTAAGAGTCCCTGTTTCCCCCCAATACCCACACTCTTAGCTTTTAAGTACAGTCTTTGAGAAATTCATATTAGCTTGAGGACCCTGATGTTTGGGCAGTTTGGACGTGAACGTGCCGGGATATAAACACATTCGGAGTGAGGCCATTCGGCATTGCTGGGGTAGTCTCCCGGCCTCTGGCCAACGTGTCAGGCGCATGTCCGTGTCACACGAGCCACAAGAAACACATACACGACCATCCATAGACCAACAGATTTAATATTATATTGCAGTTTCCAGTGATGCAGAATGTTGCCGCAGTTGTGTTTCAAGAAGCCTAGTGGGGCTGGCCATCCCAGCATCGTGGTGCCACTCCCGGCCCGCCCGCAGCCTCAGTAGACATTCTTCCATCTCGGGGAGGCCCTGGCTGCACCTCCGGTTACCCTGCACTGGCCGCGTCATTACAGTTCAGTGTGCAAGACTTTTCCTTTCTCGTCAAAAGCCTCTGCTTAGTGCTCTGCAGCTTGGTTTGCGCTTGTCAGATCTTTGGCCTGTCCTTTATCATAAGATTTGCTGAATCACTCAGGAAAATAACTCCCAAGCAACAGACATGCTAGTTTAACTGGCACTGTGGTATATTAAAAGGCACAAGGGCATAGTGGCTTAACATTTTTGCTGGATCCCAAGAGATGAACATGATGTTAAAAAGGGATCTGGCAGAAACACCATAATTACATTTTCAGAATCATCATCTTGGGATGGTTTGGCCAGGGTTTCCTAATTCTTTAATATCTGGATTTTCTTCACCGTTGGCCTTCAGAGGCTTTCTTTTCAGGCATGAGATCAGTGGTGACTTATCTAATGAGTGTCGTGACACATGGTTGAAATCTGTAAGCATAGCCGCGATGGACTAGAAATTTCTCTAGTGTTTTACCTCACGTTAGCCATCAGACCACCGTGCAATGTGGAATGGTTGTTTTCAAGTATTTGGCCATAGGTTTTCACATCGTTGCGGATGACATTCAGTAAGGAAAAAATTCTTTCCGATTCCAATATCAAATTGTAAATAAATCCCAGATGTTCGTAAAGAACACTCAGGGAAATGTTTGTTGCCTGGGATTGGTAAAGAAAGGACGGTTTTTGAAACCTGAAATTTCACCATTGGCTTTTTCATCATTTCCTCGCATCCAGCAAAAGGAATCTCACATTCCTGGATTCCTGGCAGAGCTCTGTGGCTTCGATCTCTCTTTCTTGAAGGGCGGAATTGTGTTCCTGACCCAGTAATCATTTTGGCAACTTTAATCTTGAGGTTCTTCAAATTTAAAGGAGGGTTAATAGAGAACGATGATCTGTTTGCTAAATACTAAAATCAAATTCATAATAAAGTATTTTATAATGCGTCTCAGCCACGCGGAAGAGTGGGCTGTTCATTCCTGTGGTACACATGCTAAATACCCCTGAAACACCACGCAGTGAGGCCACCAAAACTGGGCTCCCAGGGCTAAGTCCTGCTGCTAGAACAACTTCAGTAAGATCTGTCGGTTTGGGGTCTTCTTAGTTTTTAAATAATAACCAGGCTGAACTTCTGTGACTAAAGAAAAACTTCACATTAACCATAGTTTATAAAATTTTCAACTACAACCATTAGTTAACCTAAACCTTAGTGCATCAAGAACTGAACCCCGAAAGGGTTCTGTGCCGGCATTTTGCCTTCTGGTTTCCACTGCAGAGCACGGATGATCAGTAGGACATGTGCAGTTCAAAGGCGCCGTCCTCCCCGCCACACACTAGACGCCACTTCGGACCTTGGGAATGATGGGCCCGGTCAAGTCTGCGAGCCTCCTCTTCCTCACTGGAAAGGAATGGAGATGAGAAATAAGTCAGCTGACCCTGTGCTCTGGGAACCACCTCTGTGGCTCTGAGAAAGCCCTAGGAAGCTTCTCGCTAACTTTTCGGTTAGCAAGGTCCAACGTCTGTTGTTTCTAAAGGATGGTTATGTGTGAGCTGTGTAAGGGCCCTCCTGCTGGCCAGCGTTCCCTGATGAGGGCTGTGTGTTGACTCATTCATAAACTACTGCTAAGCCTCTGACCACACAGGCGTAAAAGCCGCTTTATCTGCCTCCACTGTGTTTGCTTTTACACCAGAGGCCCTGCAGTTGAAGATCTTTCCTCCCGGAGGCTCAGAAAGGGCCAAAGTTCATTTGATGGTAATGAGAGTAGGGTCTTAACCTGCTGGAATCATTTCCCACAGCTCCTTCTGAGTTCCTGGCCTGCCTCCTGTCTTATAAAAAAAAAAAAGTTTCCACCCTTGAAGATTACCCTGCAGTATCTGTGTCCCCTTAGTGTTAACCTTGACATTTTCTCAGAAGCAAGACAATAGAAGCTCAAATACTGTTCACTTAACAAAGTCGTTAAATGCCATAAAGAGGAAAGCACAAGCCAGAAGGTTGCAGGCTGGCATCGTTACATGTAGGGTGATGGAGAGGGGGAAGAGGGGCCCTGTGTTGTCACATGGGAGAGTGTTTTGAAATGAATTTCAGTGTCTGCAGATGCAGACCAAGGAGCTGGCTAGATCCGCCCCAAGAGAAAGGTCAAAAAGTCCGGAGAGGGGCACCTGGGTGGCTCAGTGGTTTAAGCCTCTGCCTTCGGCTCAGGTCATGATCCCGGGGTCCTGGGATCAAGCCCCGCATCGCATCGGGCTCTCTGCTCAGCAGGGAGCCTGTTTCCCTTCCTCTCTCTCTGCCTGCCTCTCTGCCTGCTTGTGATCTCTCTCTGTCAAATAAATAAATAAAAATCTTTAAAAAAAAAAAAAAAAAGTCCGGAGAACCGGTAGGTGGCAGTCAAGGAGGCTGCTGGTGGCTGTGGCAGCCGAGGAAAGAAGTCTGTCTGTACTTAGATGTCTTCCATTTCCAGAGCTGAGCCAGTAGACCTGTGGCCACCAGATCGCCGCATGCGAGCTGCACCAAGAACCTGGTCAGCTTGTGCAGGACACAGAGCATAACAGAGCAGAAGTTCCTGGGAAGGGGTGGTATGGGATTGTGGCTGGGAGCCGGAGCACACAGCTCACCCAGACTGGGGCTGGAGTTCAGCCTGTCCCTGAGCTCCTACCCACCCCTCCACCCCCGTCAGAGAATAATGAATGCAAATCAGTGGGCTGTGTTCCTGGAGAGAAGACACTGCATCCAGCTTAGGCCCTGGACACCCATCAGAACGTCCAGCAGCTTGGGAGAAAAGGTCAGGGAACAAAAACCAGAACCTGAAGAGCAGAGAAGTTTTGTTGAAAGTGACCAGAGAGTTTACATGAGCCAGACATGTAAGTATCGGCACGTTAGCTATGCAAGCATGCCCCACAGGGTGGTCCTCATTACACCTCTTCTACACCCAGAACCTCACCGGAGCCACACCGCCGCCAATTCTGGAATGTCAGCATTGTTATCTTTCCCACATTACGGAGCAGGAAAGTACGGCAGAGAGGCTACACTTCGTGCCCAAAGCAGTAAAGCTGGTACTAGACAGACCCAGGGTGTGTAGCTCATTTGGAGCCTCAGCCCAGCAACTCCCTCAGGACAGTTGGGGACTGTCTACATAGGGCCTACACAGCTGATTCTCACAAGGGCATCCACTCCTTTTCCCGGGAGAACAAAAGGGAGCGAGAACCCCTTAAGAGCTAGCGGCAGAATCAGGATGGGAACCTGAGTCCCCAGCCCATGGTTCAGGATACAGACAGGGATCCCAGGTTTCTTTTCCCCACCACATGCCCTCACTGTGTACCCTGGGCAGAAGCCCCACAGCTCCCGTAGCCCTGGCTTTCATGGGGACCGGATGGGGGAAAAGGGCAAGGCAGCCACCTGCTTAGGTATTACTCTTTTCCATTTTTTTAAAAGATTTTATTTATTTATTTGAGAGAGAGACAGTAAGAGCATGAGAGAGGAGAAGTAGATTCCCCGTGGAGCTGGGAGCCCAATGTGGGACTCGATCCTGGTACTCTGGGGTCATGACCTGAGCCAAAGAGAGCCGCTCAACCAACTGAGCCACCCAGGTGCCCCTTTCTTCTCCATTTTAATGATGAAGGGAATCGAGGTCAAGAGAGGGAAGTTGGCCCAAGTCACAGGGAATAAGTGACGGAAGCAGAAGCCCAGGTCTCCCAACATCTTCCTTCAATTCAATCTGCTTTTTACTTCCATTAAAGCAAAATCCTTATCACTGCAATGGCCAGACCTGTTCGCTGAGCCAGAAGGAATTTCGGGTCGTCTGGACCAACCTCTATCTGCTGCTCAAGCTCCTTCCACCACTTCCTACCAAGCTCGAACCCCTCTATCATGTCTTTAGGAAGTATTTATTTATTTATTTATTTTTGGGAAGCATTTAAAATTCACTTATATGTTCAATAGCATTCACCGAGTACTATTATGTGCCAGGCACAAGGATCAGAAGTAACGATCTAGCTTAACAGGGCACCAAGCTATACCAACAGTGAGTTTGAGAACATGCTATACGTTCCCTCGTAGCTCTCTACCAGGGAGGCATATGAGGCATAATGAAGGAAGTGGTCGGAAAGACAGCAGGGAACGTGTGCACCGAGTCTGGAAGGATAAAGGGGCAGACTGAGAAGGGAAGGGGAGGGTTAGGAGTAGGTGCCCTCTACAGGGATACTTTGGCCTGGGTCGCTGGGAGGCACTCAAGCTCCCGCGACCGGCTGGTGCTAATACGGGGTGAGAGGATGGCTTGTCAGGGGACAGAGAAGTCCCAGCATGTCCTCACCACGAAGGGAGACAGGGGCACAGGCTCTGAGATCCGACTGCAGCGCAAACCCCACTTGCACCCATGACTGTAGGTAACCTTACCTACTTCTCCAGACCTCTACTTCCTTCCTGCAGAGTGGGGGGTAGTAATGGGACCTCACTCAGCCAGTTGTTGGGGGCCTCATGTGGTTAAGTAAGACAGGAAGTGTTCACGGCAGCGCCTGGTACTCAGGAAGCGTGGTGTACGTATCAGCTCTGCCTACTGAGGGATGTGGGAGCCCAGCAAGGGTACTAAGCAAAGTGACAGAACAAACTCTGGGATGGGCGCTCCGTGAGAGTTGCTGGCCGGCTCACAGAAGTTGCAGGACAGGAGGTGAATGTGCTGAGGGCTTGGCACGAGGCAGGGCAAGGGGGATGGCCCGGAGCGGGCTGACTGGCTGGGATGGGAGCAGCATATAGACAGAGGCCTAGATTTCGGGCTTGGAGGCCTGTGAGGAAAGTAATACCTTTTGTGTGAGTAGTTTTGGGGGATGATGATGACATTGATTTGGGGTGCATGGTGTCTGGGGTGCATTTTAGAAAAGACTTCCTTGAGAATACAGTAGAAGAGAGACTTCCCCAGGAACAGGTGTTTCCTGCTTTGAAACAGGTTAACCCTGGTCCCCACCCCACCTCCACACATACAACGGGAACAGTCTTAAGTTGGAGCTGGCAATTCTGAGTTCATTAAGTGGAAAGAGCTTTGGAGGCAGATTTACAGGACCTGAGAGCCATGCTTAGCCTCTCAGCTATAAATAGTGTAGAGGTAGGAGTCATTTGAGGTATCGCTGTACGAAAACATAGATGGGGACCCGCGGTTCCTCCCTGACACTGCCGTGTAGCTGGCCGCTCAGTGCAAAGGATGGGAAGGACCGAAGACACGCCAGCCAGAATGGGTCCCGGCAGGCTGCACGTAAGCAGAGGCACAGGCTGACCTCTGGCCATGGGGATTGAACAGCCCCCAAGGAAGAGCCCACCCACCCTGCAGGCAGGCAAAACCCACCACCGAGGCTGTCTGCGAGCCAGGAGCCGGCAGGGTGCAGGCTGGAGTGAGAAGCTGGAGAGGCTGGGCCCTGCCTGTCTTCCCTGCTGCAGCAGCGAACTCTGCTAACCATCGCAGAGTCTAGGTACGACCCACGGAGGCTCTTGGGATAAAAACATGCAGCTGGAAAGCACAGAAGCCTGTCTGCCTCATCGGAGCCCTGCGAGCAGAATGAAAATGTCGTGTTGGAAAGAAAGGACTTTTTTTGCAGGAGAAAGCTGGTACGCTATCTGAATCAGAAGTGTTTCCTTAACAAAATTTAGCAGATGGGCACAAATTGTCCTTTAAAGCTAGAAATCCTATTTCACCCACCAGCACTCAATATTATGTGTAATCATGCAAGCAATTTTGCTCTAATGCCTTTGGTGGGAAACCCCAAGGGAACAGCTGCACAGTCCCCTGGGCTAACCCTGAGGCCCATTTTGATCACCTGGCAGTCCTGTCCAGGAAACTGTCAGTCTTACCTCCTACCTGCTCTCATCACCAAACTCCTGGTCCTGCCTTTGCTCATGCTGTTCCTTCTGCTTGGCATGCCCTTCCCTCCCTTCTCTGTGAGTTCCTATTTTTCCTTCTAGGTCTAACT